CCCCCTCCCCTGAGGTAACGCCGCGACCGCCCTCAGAGAGACGGAGATGGCGGTTGTGGGGGTGTCCGTCCCCGTCGAGCCTCAAACCCCGCTGATAAGGCCCTGAGTGACCCTGAGCGAGCAGCGGGGCTGATCTCCGGAGGCGCCTTTCGTGGCTCCCGGTGTGTAAACCGCAGGAAAATGAAAAAAAAGTACCGAAAGGTTTAAAGGAGCCACGCGCGGTCGCGGGTCTAGAGCAGGTAGCACCTGGCAGCGGTGCAGGGAAGCCTGGGCGTTGGGGTTGGTTGGGCATGGGGATGCCTGCCGTCTTGAGAGGGTGACATTAAGGGACACGCGGGCAGATTGGCAGAGCTGTCACGCTGGGCCAGAGGAACCACACCAAACAGCTTTAAACGCCAGCTGGAGATGTTTGCGTGCAGGAAATAGCCTCTCCAGGTCCCCCATATTGTCAGTGGAGAGAAGCGTGACCTCCGGGACTTGCCAAATGAAGGGATGAGTTGGTCTTTAGAAGAACCCGGGCGGTTTTAAGAAAACATGCTTTGTCCTCATTTACACCACCTAAAGCACTTTGGAAAACGTGGCCCCGAGGGACAACTGGAATCTGGAGGGAAGAGTGCCTTCTCCCTTGTTGCGTAATGTGCTCGGCAAGCGTGTCCTTCATCCCGGTCTACCTCAGTCACTGTGTTAAGCCTTGGGAAACTTTGCTGGATCATTCCAGATGATTCATTCATGTTCCTAGTGACCCTCCTGCTTTATAACAAGGATTAAAAGTGGATATCACCTTGCTGTTGATGGCTGTCTTCCTGATTTATCCACTGATTTCTTATGTGACAGTGTAACAAATACTTTCCTCTGATCTAGATTCAGTATGTTTGGTATGTTTCAGCATCTGTCACTCTTACATTTAGAACAGTTACATTAAAAAATGCAAAAGCTTTTCTTCTGTTTAAACATTTGTACCACAAATGGGGAAGACCAGCATTTCAATTAAATATTTTAATTTAGGACTTTGGAGAGCTGCTTTTATTCACTTAGTTTGTGAATGATTTTCGTTCCAATTACAACATATTATAAACAAGCTAATGTTTGTTTCCTGTATTGCCAGTTTGTCTCTATTAGTGAGATGGTGGACTGTCTTGGTCATTAGGGCAGATGGCACTGGCACAGATCTCACCCTGTAGCACTACAGAACACTTGTAATTTAGAGGAAAATGTCTTTTTAGGCATTGTGAAAATTAACAGATGCAAAAATTATTGATGGGTCATAGCTAAAGAGATCTTGTACCACTGTCTTGCCACTGATTTCTGTCTCTCTCTCATGAGCATGCTGATACAGATGATGTCCACTGACCCTCAAGCTAGCACAGAACAGCCTAGTGCTGCTGGAACAGGAAGCAGAGGTCGGGCTGTACTGTCTCTGGACACGAGCTGGGATCCCTTTCTGATGCTGTGACTGCCATGGTGACATACAAATATACCCTGGCCTATCTCAGGTAACACAGTGTGACTTTGTATAAATCTTGGCATATCCTGAGGCATCAGATGTGAAGTCTAGTGCTGTTATCTATCTCAGGGTATAGTTTGGAAGTTGCTCACTCTTCAGGCAGTCTGTGGCCTGCAGAGTCCAGGAGTTCTGACGAGTTGAGGCATGTGCACTTCTCTCCTTCAGGGAGCTGTGACTGGCAATACATAGGAACTGGCTCTGGGTCTGTGCCTCAACCATGTCCTGTGTGGCAAGTCCACTTCCAGGACCCTGTGTGCCATGGATAGGAAGCCTGTTCATACAGCCAAGAGGTGAAGAACGTCACCCGGTCCAGTGACGTCCTGGTCTGAACAGTAGGAGCCTCAGGCTTTGAGATGCATCCTGATTTACTCAGTAAGTACAGAGCTGTCCTTAGAAACCAAACAGCCTAATTCAAAGAGGAAGAAATGATCCTTACGTAAATTGTTCACAATTTACCCCTATGCCTGGGGCCTTACCTGCTAGCAGTCCTTCTTTCAGAAAATCCAGCGGTCCGCATGACTCTCTTATTCCTTCCCTCTCTTCTTAATGGCTTTTTATAGCCTCCTAGGCTTTAATCCATATAACAAGAACCACCCTGAAGGAGGACCAAGTCAAGTGACAGTCCTTAGTACACTCTTACCTGGAGTTATTTTTCCTTTTGATTTTTCCCCATACATAGTCTTGTAGTAACTTAAAATTATTAGGAAAGTTCATATTCTATTAAACGATTGCAGATTGTAATGGTGCTATGCTAGACCTTGTTCTCACCAACAAGGAGGGGCTGGTGGGGAACATGAAGCTCAAGGGCAGCCTTGCCTGCAGTGACCATGAAATGGTGGAGTTCAAGATCCTTAGGGCGGTAAGAAGGGCACACAGCAAGCTCACTACCCTGGACTTCAGGAGAGTAGACTTTGGTCTCTTCAGGGATCTGCCTGGTAGAGTACCATGGGATAAAGCCCTGGAGGAGCTCAAGAAAGCTGATTGATATTCAAGGATCACCTCCTCCAAGCTCAGGAGCGATGCCTTCCAACAAAAAGGAAGTCAGGCAGAAACACCAGGAAGCCTGCATGGATGAACAAGGAGCTCCTGGACAAACTCAAACACAAAAGGGAACCCTACGGAGGGTGGAAGCAAGGACAGGTAGCCTGGGAGGAGTACAGAGAAAATGTCCAAGGAGCCAGGAGTCAGGTTAGGAAAGCCAAAGCCCTGATAGAATTAAATCTGGTCAGAGAACATCAAGGGCAACAAGAAAAGCTTCTATGGGTACATTGTTGATAAAAGCAAGACTAGGGAAAATGTGGGCCCTCTCTGGAAGGAAATGGGTGTGGCAAGTGCACCCACCCAATGAGAGCAGAGCTTCTTGGCTGCTGAAGTGTAGCAGCTCAGAGCTGCTTTTGTTCTCAGGGCCACAGTGGTAATTGGCCCTTGGCCAATGGGAGCTGCTATTGACCACAGACCAGATTGGGCCTGGGTATAAATGGAGTCCCCTGGGAGCCATTCTGAGCTCGTCCCCTGGAGCAGCAGCTGCGGTCCAGGACTCTCCCCTTGGGTCAGGACGCTGCCCAAGGAAACTCCTTGAGGGGCCTTGGGTTGGGATGCTGCCCTGAGCAGGTCCTTGAGGTTGAGAGTTCTCACTTGTCAGGTGAGTGATAGAATGTTTTGGGTTGTCCTTAAACACTAGGTAGCAGGGCTTTGTAAAGCGTTTGGGGTTGTGGTTAAACCCCAGGGAGCGGGGCTTTGTTTGCATTTTGGGCTGCCAATAAACCCTATAGAGTTCTTTGTTATGCATTCTGGGTTGCCGTTAAACCCTAGAAAGCTGTTATGTTCTTCTCTCACAGACATTCAAACCTGTAATTTATGGAGATCTAGTTACCTGTGTTAATTTTTTTTTTTAATTTTATTTTTGGTGGTTGGTTGTTTATTTGAGAACATCCATAACAATGGGAGACCTGATTATCTGGGACATGGAGAAGGTTGAGGTACTGAACGACTTTTTTGACTCCAGTCTTCACTGGCAAATGCTCCAGCCACACTGCCTAAGTTGCAGAAGGCAAAGGCAGGGACTGGGAGAATGAACTGCCCACTGTAGGAGATCAGGTTTGAGACCCTCTGAGGAACCTGAAGGTGCAGAAGTCCATGGGACCTGATGAGATGTATCAGTGCGTCCTGAGGGAAATGGCAGATGAAGTGTCTAAGTCACTATCCACCATATTTAAAAAGTGGCACAGACGGGAAAAGGGGAAACATAACCTCCATTTAAAAAAAGACAATAAAAGAAGACCTAGGGAAACTACAGGCCAGTCAGTCTCACCTCTGTGCCTGGCAAGATCATGGAACAGATCCTTCTGGAAATTATGCTAGGGCGCATGGAAAACAAGGAGGTGATGGGTGACAGCCAACATGGCTTCACTAAGAACAAATCATGCCTGATGAATTTGGTGGCCTTCTATGATGGGTTTATAGTGTTGATAAATAAGGGAAGAGCAACTGACATCATCTCTCTGGACTTGTGCAAAGCATTTGACACTGTCATGCACGACATCCTTGTCTCTAAACTGGAGAGACATGGATTTGATGGATGGACCATTCAGTGGATAAGGAGTTGTCTGGATGGCTGCACTCAGAGAGCTGTGGTCAGTGGCTTGATGTCCAAGTGGAGAGCAGTGACGAATGACATTCCTCAGGGGTCATTGTTGAGACCGGTACTATTTAAATATTTGTTAGTGGCATGGACAGTGGGATTGAGTGTACTCTCAGCAAGTCTGACAATGACACCAAGCTGTGTGCTGCAGTTGACATGCTGGAGGGAAGGGATGTGCCATCCAGAGGGACCTTGACAGGCTTGAGAGGTGGGCCTGTGCAAACCTCATGAAGTTCAACAAGGCCAAGTGCAAGATCCTGCACATGGATTGGGGCAATCCCATGTACAAATACAGGGTGGGCAGAGAATGAATTTAGAGCAGCCCTGAGGAGAAGGACTTGGGGGTGTTGGTTGATGAGAACCTCAACATGACCTGGCCATGTACACTCACAGCCCAGAAAGCCAGCTATATCCTGGACTGCATCAAGAGAAGCGTGACCAGCAGCTCGAGGGAGGTGATTCTTCCCCTCTACCCCACTCTCATGAGACCTCACCTGCAGTACTGTGTCCAGCTCTGAGGCCCCCAACGTAAGAAGGACATGGGCCTGTTAGAGCCACAATATGATCAGGGGACTGGAGCACCTCCCCTATGAGGACAGGCTGAGAGAGTTGGGGTTGTTCAGCCTGGAGAAGAGAAGGCTCTGGGGAGACCTTATAATGGCCTTCCAGTACTTAAAGGGGAACCTACAATAAAGATGGGGAGGGACTCTTTATCAGGGAGTGTAGTGATAGGACAGGGGGTTATGGTTTTAAACTGAAAGGGGGTAGGTTTAGATTAGATGTAAGGAAGAAATTCCTC